TTTTTGGACTTTCCGGTCTTCGAAATACTCAGAATCTTTAGAATCTCTGGAGTCTTGGACTCCATGGAATTTTTGAAATGTTTAGAATCTCCGGCAATTTTGGATTATTTGAAATTTTTGGAATCTTTATATTCGTTCGAAGTTTTCAGATTTTCTGGGATCTTCACTCTTAGAAAAATTCAGGGCCTTCAGAATCCTCAAAATCTTCAGAATATCTTCGGAATCTCCACCTAAAGTCTCGAAATATTCGGAATTTTTGTGATTTCTGGAATCTCTGGAACGTTTGGAATCTTCGAAATCTTCAATTTTCAAATTTTTTGGAATCTTCAGAAACCTTGGAATCTTTAGAACATTTAGAATTTTTAGAATCCCTGGAATCTCGGAATATCCAGAATCTTTGAGATTTCTGCTATCTCTAAAGTCTCGGAATAACTCCGGAACTTTTGGGATCTTTATAGTCTTCAGAATCTTTAAAATTTTTAGAATCTGACGGATTTTTAGAATCTTTAGAATCTCCAGAACCTTCAGAATCTTTCGGAATCTTCAGAGTATTCAGAATCCTTGGAATCCCCAGAATCTTTAAGAATCTCGGGAATTTCTAGGATCCCGGAACATCCGGAATTTTTTAATTTTCTGGAATCTCTGGACCTTTGGAATCTTTATAATCTTTGCAATCTACGGAATCTTCAGTCTTCAAATTTTTTGAATTTTCAACCTTCGAAATACTCAGAACATTTTGAAATTCCTGGAATTTTTAAATCTTTGGAATCTTTATAATCCAAAGTCTTAAGATTTTTTTGGACTTTTCAGTCTTCGAAATACTCAGAATCTTTAGAATCTCTGGAGTCTTGGACTTCATGGAATTTTTGAAATGTTTAGAATCTCCGGCAATTTTGGATTATTTGAAATTTTTGGAATCTTTATATTCGTTCGAAGTTTTCAGATTTTCTGGAATCTTCACTCTTAGAAAAATTCAGGGCCTTCAGAATCCTCAAAATCTTCAGAATATCTTTGGAATCTCCACCTAGTCTCGAAATATTCGGAATTTTTGTGATTTCTGGAATCTCTGGAACGTTTGGAATCTTCGAAATCTTCAATTTTCAAATTTTTTGGAATCTTCAGAAACCTTGGAATCTTTAGAACATTTAGAATTTTTAGAATCCCTGGAATCTCGGAATATCCAGAATCTTTGAGATTTCTACTATCTCTAAAGTCTCGGAATAACTCCGGAACTTTTGGGATCTTTATAGTCTTCAGAATCTTTAAAATTTTTAGAATCTGACGGATTTTTAGAATCTTTAGAATCTTCAGAACCTTCAGAATCTTTCGGAATCTTCAGAACCTTCAGAATCTTTCGGAATCTTCAGAGTATTCAGAATCCTTGGAATCCCCAGAATCTTTAAGAATCTCTGGAATTTCTAGGATCCCGGAACATCCGGAATTTTTTAATTTTCTGGAATCTCTGGACCTTTGGAATCTTTATAATCTTTGCAATCTACGGAATCTTCAGTCTTCAAATTTTTTGAATTTTCAACCTTCGAAATACTCAGAACATTTTGAAATTCCTGGAATTTTTAAATCTTTGGAATCTTTATAATCCAAAGTCTTAAGATTTTTTTGGACTTTTCAGTCTTCGAAATACTCAGAATCTTTAGAATCTCTGGAGTCTTGGACTTCATGGAATTTTTGAAATGTTTAGAATCTCCGGCAATTTTGGATTATTTGAAATTTTTGGAATCTTTATATTCGTTCGAAGTTTTCAGATTTTCTGGAATCTTCACTCTTAGAAAAATTCAGGGCCTTCAGAATCCTCAAAATCTTCAGAATATCTTTGGAATCTCCACCTAGTCTCGAAATATTCGGAATTTTTGTGATTTCTGGAATCTCTGGAACGTTTGGAATCTTCGAAATCTTCAATTTTCAAATTTTTTGGAATCTTCAGAAACCTTGGAATCTTTAGAACATTTAGAATTTTTAGAATCCCTGGAATCTCGGAATATCCAGAATCTTTGAGATTTCTACTATCTCTAAAGTCTCGGAATAACTCCGGAACTTTTGGGATCTTTATAGTCTTCAGAATCTTTAAAATTTTTAGAATCTGACGGATTTTTAGAATCTTTAGAATCTTCAGAACCTTCAGAATCTTTCGGAATCTTCAGAGTATTCAGAATCCTTGGAATCCTCAGAATCTCGGGAATTTCTAGGATCCCGGAACGTCCGGAATTTTTTAATTTTCTGGAATCTCTGGACCTTTGGAATCTTTATAATCTTTGCAATCTACGGAATCTTCAGTCTTCAGATTTTTGGAATTTTCAACCTTCGAAATACTCAGAGTTATTTTGAAATTCCTGGAATTTTTAAATCTTTGGAATCTTTATAATCCTCAGAATCTTCAGTCTTAAGATTTTTTGGACTTTCCGGTCTTCGAAATACTCAGAATCTTTGGAATCTCTAGTCTTGGACTATCCGAAATTTTTGAAATTTTTAGAACATCTGAGACCTTTGGATTCTTTATATTCGTTCGAAGTTTTCAGTTTTCTGAGATCTTCACTCTTAGAAAAATTCAGGGTTTTCAGAATCCTCAAAATCTTCAGAATATCTTTGGAATCTCCGTCTAACGTCTCGAAATATTCGGAATTTTTGAGATTTCTGGAATCTCTGGAACGTTTGGAATCTCTGAAATCTTAAGGATCTTTATAATAATGTTTACAATCTTCGAAATCTTCAATTTTCTAATTTTTTGGAACTTTCAGAAACCTTGGAATCTTTAGAACATGTAGAATCCCTGGAATCTCGGAATAACTCTGGAATTTTTGGAATCTTTATAGTCTTCAGAATCTTTGAAATTTTTAGAATCTGAGGGATTTTCAGAATCTTTAGAATCTCCAGAACCTTCAGAATCTTTCGGAATCTTCAGAATATTCAGAATCTTTGGAATCCTCTGAATCTTGCAATCTACAAAATGTTCAGTCTTCAGATTTTTGGAATTTTCAACCTTCGAAATACTCAATATTTTGAAATTCCTGGAATTTTTAAATCTTTGGAATCTTTATAATCCTCAGAATCTTCAGTCTTAAGATTTTTTGGACTTTCCAGTTTTCGAAATACTCAGAATCTTTCGAATCTCTGGAATCTCTAGTCTTGGACTCTCCGGAATTTTTGAAATTTTTAGAACATCTGAGACCTTTGGATTTTTTATATTCGTTCGAAGTTTTCAGTTTTCAGATTTTCTGGAATCTACACTCGTCGAAAGATTCAGGATCTTCAGAATCCTTGGAAACTTTAGAATGTTTAGAATATTTAGAATCCGTATTTTTCAAAACCGAAATGTGGAAAAATTGAGAACCCGAAATTTGAAAAATCGAGAAATCGAAAAATCTGATTTTTTTCCAAAAATCGCGATTCAAAAACCACAAGTTCAGGACTACGTTCCTTTTTAAACAACTACGGTAAATTCTTAATCAAAATGATGACGTCATCTCAAAATTTTGGCCAATAAATCCTAGTTAAAATGTTAATATTCTTTAGAATTGCTTACACAGGGTGAAAAAAAAATTGAGTCAATTTGTTGTATTGATTTAAACAGGAACTGCAAAATCGAATGATTTGAAATCTCGCAAATACATTTTTTAGAACTGTTTATACAGGTGACTCAAAGTGGATTAGCTCATTCATTAATTTTTTGAGTCACCTGTACAAATAACTACAAAAGCTATGAATGGAGTCCTAATATTTCGCCCATTACATCAACAACCTGAACGTACTCGCTGCGCTCGCATTCGAAAGGTTTGATTTTTTCAAGCAAAAGATTTATAATTACCAGACAGCTTCGTCGAAATTCTTTCTTAATTCCACGAGACTGAACAAGTTTCATTAAAAAAATTGGCACAAAACAAACAACAAAAATTTATCTCGAGAGTTTACCGCGAGATAATCTCGCATTTTCGTCAAGTTCGCAATTTTTACAAGCGCGACTTCCACGAAAGAAACCCAATCTGGTGACTCGAGCACGTTCATTTCCGCGAATATTTTCGAATATTAAATTTTATATTTAGAAACGGCGCAACGCGCTTTTACGAAAACAACCAAACCTTTACCACGAATCGGCTCAGTTATCGATTACCACATTTTATAGCCTTCCGGACAAACCTGAATCGGTTGAACAAACATCGTAAAACATCAATGAACGCATCACCGTTAGTCACAATTTACTTACTTACTTTCGATTTTATTGCAAAAACACGTGGTCGGCGTAAAATTTAATCGAGTCAATACGTACCAAGACACTGCAAACGAAATCAAGATTTATTGGGTAGAATCCACATTGCGTTAACGTAGAAAATGTTATCGCGATATCAGCACTCCACTTGGCACAAGCACAATGAATGAAAAAGATTCAAATACTCGCCTTAAACGAATCACTTGACGTAATCAGAGCGAACTGAAGAGCTTAATAAAAGTGAGTATTGAGTGGAAATTATCAATGTCAAAAAAAATATGAATTTTCGCTCCTAGTTTTATTGTAACATAGTACGACTTTTTTAGTTGTTGTTGTTACATTATTTAGTAAAATATTGACGTTCGCTAACGCATATCACACATGCGTTAGCAGTTTAAGTGTCTTGATGGAAGGACGTTTAAGGATTAATCAAGACCATGAATCACACCGCTAACTCGAACTGTTAAATGTTTGCATTTAATTTGTTCAATTTATGACATCACGTGTCGTGACTTTGATTAAAGTAGGAAGATTACAATAGAAAGGACGTTAATTGTAGTTTACTGAAGTCATCAAAAAGCAATAACAGAGCCCCGATGACGGAGATAACCACCACATAATTACTATTATCGAAGTTATAAAGCCTTAACGAGATTAATTAAAGTGCACATGTTGGCGTTACGGAACTAATTATACCAATCCCACAATAATTTTCCAAAAAAAGTCGCATTTTAAAAATCACCATGTATAAAAAAAATGCACATAACCTCATTTTTCTTACCACGACGTGCAGAGGAGTCTCGTAGTGCCTCAACACCACCACCGTGATGGACTTGCCCTGGGCCACTGCGATCTGCGCCAGCACCTCCTCGGTGGTGACATCCCCCGGAAGGTCCTGAAGAAGGGGGTCCGCGGCTATTAACCTCCGCAGACTGCTCTGCGTGATCTCACACAAATCCTCGTAGCTCAAATTATCCAGTTCTTGCTCCAAGTTCTGTTTATCGTCGTCCATCCTGCGTGAAAATAAGCAGAGCGTTCAGTCCAAACAACAATAAATATTGAGGTTATGACGACACGGGTTTGACGTTTGACAGACGACAGTGGCGTGTCTAGAATTATTATTATGTGACGCACGCCACTGAAACTGGTAATTAATGCGGGAAAAAATCGCTTTTTGGGTTAATCGTTGCCGAAATGGGTGGTGGAGGGGGTGGGTGCGGTGGTGGTGGTCCACGAAGGGGTGTCATGCAGTTAGAGTAGACGTACACACTCGTGGTGCTCGTGGACACAGTTTATGAATGAAGAGGGAAAAACTCACCACTTTTTTTTCGAAATTGTTGAGTCGTTCGAGCGGAAAGAGCGTAAAAGTTGGATAATTACCGCGACCTTCTGCGGATTAATTTTAAATGTTTATGATCTAACAAGCTGAAAAATTATTTTACAAGGTAACAGTCGGCCAGGTGGTTGGTCGCCAAGGTGCGTGAAGGCGAGGTTTGAGTGAGGATTTGGGCGACTATGAACCCACCTGTGGCATTTGTGAGGTTCACCTGAGAGGCGTGGCCTCAGAGTCATAGAACTGGAGTCATAAATCGGGTTTTTCCGCTGGTCATAGCACGATTTTTTTCACTAAAAGCAATCACTGGCTTATTCTACGATACCTAATTTTGCTTGTTTAGTTACTTATCGACTACTCGAGTTTAAACAATTTATGACACTTCCATGACTCGCTGCGCTTTCCGCCCAACTTCTTTCACTTTTCGCGGTCAACGCGATTTCTTCATCGCTGGAGGACCGTTTACCGTCGCCCGTCGCTGTGACTAATACCTGCTCGTTGCTGGTTTGTTGACGACGGGTTTAACAGTTCTAGTCCCAGAAGGCTTTGAGTATTTTCGAAAAAGTGAGTATTTCGGGCTAATTTCGTGCTATCCAGTGTTAAAAATTGTTGATTTGTTTGGTTTAATAACGGTGAAAGTTTTGTCGAGTTTGGCTTGTGGGCGACTCTCAATTTGGTCATTTTTAGCAAAATGCATACGTCATTCGTGGTGTTGGGGCTCGTGGTGCTCCTGGGGGTCGTGGGGGCCAAAGACATGATGAGGAACATCGTCTTCGACAAGAACACGCCAGATGTTTTCTACTGTCCCATTCACAAACCTACTGGATTTGACAAAATGATCGTCAAGTAAGTTTTTTTGGTAATTAACACGAATCACGTGGGCTGGAAAGTTGTGTTGTGTTTTTAAAACATGTTTTTTTATTATTGTTAAAATGACACAAGATTTTTTTTTCTCCTGATGCGAAATCTTTAAAAGAGCCAATGAAATTTTTTTGTTTTGTCTGAGATCGTCCATTTGCCCTTGTAGAATCCCCCTTTCACCTCAGAGCTAATAAAATCACTGTTATGTCTGGACAAAGATGGTAAAACTAGCCCCACCCACCTCCTTTCTCCGTTTATTTACTGTAAAATGGGAATTGAATTTCATTTTGACAAGACATTTAAAACAAGGTCTAAAGCGCCCCCGCCCACCCACCCCGATTCCGTCTTGATCGCTTATTTTCTTGGCTCTGAGACACAAGTTTTTTTTGTATTGACGAATTTAATTTTTTTAATTTTTTTTGAAAACGCGGTCGCCGTCAAAGTTTACACTTAAATAATAACAAATCACGTAAAGTAAACACAATGAAGTACAATTGTAAACGCCGCCCTTCTTCTCCGGGCCAATGAAATGATTTATTAAGGTGGAGTTTGTGTGAGTGGGAGGAGCCTCAGCAGTATTGCATTGTAAACATGATTCTCTTTCTAGATACTTTGTTTAACAATTTATCTATTTTGTCACCAACGATTTACCAGATTAACCCCGCCCACCCACCCCTATTCCGTTTTGATCACTTATTTTATTGGCTTTGAGACAGATGTTGAATTTTGTATTGACAAATAATAGTTGGAATCTAAGATTACATTTTTTTTCTCGGAATAAAATTTAGTTTACAATATTATGTACGCTTGGTTATAAAAGATTCTGTTGAAAAAAGTCAAAATTAGCCCCGCCCACCCACCCTTTTTCTCATTTTTTTGTCTTCTGAAATAGGAACTAAATCTTATAGCCTATAGTTTAACAAAAAAATACCGAGTACCGCTTTTTTTTTCATACATATTTTCGGTTTTAGTTTTGGGATTTTTCTCTTTTGCGCTTTTAGTTTTCTAATTTTTCGACTTTTCGATTTGCAGACTCGTTGATTTCTTGATTTTTCGTTATTTCAACTTTTTTTAACTTTAAATTTTTTGATTTTTGAAGTTCTAGATTTCTTTTCGAATTTTTAGTTTTTCAATCTTTCGATTTTTGACTTCTCGGTTTAGATTTTTCAGCTTTTTATCGGTGTTTCGTTCAGTTTTTCGTTTTTTCTGTTTTTCAATTTTTCGAATTTTGAATTTTTCGATTTCTCGATTTTTCAATTTTTTAATTTTTCGATTTATAAAATATGGTTTTTCTGATCTTCGAGTTTATTTAGATTTCTTAATTTTTTGGTTTTTCGATTTTCAATTTTTCTTTCGTTTTTTCGATTTTTCGGGTATGTTGATGTTTCGAATTTTTTCATTTTAAACTTTTCAATTTTTCATTCTGTCGATTTTTGATTTCTCGGTTTTAGAGTTTTCAGTTTTTCCATTTTTCTTAATTTTTCTTTTTTTTTTTGATTTATCGATTTTTTAAACTTTAGATTTTTCTATTTTTTGGTTTTTCTATTTTCAATTATTCGAGTTCGCAACTTTTCAGTTTTTTAAATTTCATATTTTTCGCTCTTAACTTTTTCAATGTTTTGATTTTTTGTTTAATTTTTCTATTTTTCTATTTTAGATTTTTCGGATTCTCATTTTTTTGATTTCTCAGTTTTTCGATTCTCCAATTTTTAGATTTTTTGATGTTTCGCTTTCTCAATTCTTCAATTTTTCGATGTTTCATTCAGTTCTTCATTTTTTCTGTTTTTTCAATTTTTTGATTTCTCAATTTTTCAACTTTTTAATTTTTCGATTTTTTAAATGTGTATTAGATTTTTCGATTTTCCGATTTTTAGATTTTCCAATTTTTCAATTTTTCGATTTATAAAATTTAGTTTCTCTGATTTTTCGATTTCATTATCTCGAATTTTAGATACTTAATTTTTTGATTTTTCAATTATTCAATTTTTCAAACTTTGGATTTGTCGATTTTCAATTTTTCTTTCGTTTTTTCGATTTTTCAGGTTTTTTGACGTTTCGATTTTTTTCATTTTAAAAAATTATTCCATTTTTCATTCTGACTTGTGGGTTTTAGAGTTCTCAGTTTTCCCATTTTTTCTTAGTTTTTCTCTTTTTTTGATGCTTCGATTTTTCGAGTTTCCGATTTTTCAATTTTTTTATTTATCGATTTTTTTAAGTGTTAATTTTTCAGTTTTTAATTTTTCGTTTGGGTTATCTTAATGTCTCAACTTCTCGATCTTTTCATGTTTCGATTTCTCAATTTTTCTACATTTCAGTTTTGGTATTTTTTAATTTATCTATTTTTCAGTTTTTCGCTTCTTCGATTTCTCGTTTTTTTTATTTTTCGGTTTCTTAATTTTTCAATGCATTTATTTTAATTTTTCCATTTTTTTAAATTTTAGATTCACTTACTTATTTTATTGATTGTAAAATAAGAATTGAATTTTATTTTGACAAGTGGTGGAATCTAAGATTTCAAACAAAGTCAAAAGTGGCCCCTCCCACCCACCCCTATTCCGTTTTGATCACTTATTTTATTGGCTCTGAGATAGAAGTTGAATTTTGTATTGACAAATAATAGTTGGAATCTAAGATTACATTTTTTTTCGGAATAAAATTTAGTTTACAATATTATGTACGCTTGGTTATAAAAGATTCTGTAGAAAAAAGTCAAAATTAGCCCCGCCCACCCACCCTTTCTCTCATTTTTTTGTCTTCCGAAATGGGAACTAAATCTTATAGCATATAGTTTAACAAAAAAATACCGATTAGCCTTTTTTTTTTCTTTTTTTTAACAGCGTAGATTTTATTAGTTCGCATTCCCACTCTACCGAATCATTAGCCCCGCCCGCCCACCACGCCCCCATTTCCATGATTCGTTATATTTGGTGTGAATCAAAGGTGGATCTTATACTGAGCCGAAATAAAATCGTTTTAGAATGATAACAGCGCGAGTGGGCGGGATTAGTACCCTGTTAAGATAAGACTAACTTTGGCAGATGATACAGCCCCTAAGAAAATAGAGGGTGGGTGGGCGGGGCTAGTACTTGCTGATTCTACTCTGAGACAGAAGTGCGATAAATAATAGGATCTAGAATGAGATTTTTTTTGTTAATAAAAATTAATTTTTTTAACAACTACCTTGCCGAAAATAGACCCAATGAAGTACAATTATAAACTCCGCCCCCTTCTTTTCCGAGCCAATGAAATGATTCATTAAGGCGAAGCTTTTGCAAGTGGGAGGAGAATCGCTAATTTTGCTTTTTAAATATGATTATCACGTTTGGTATGCTTATTTAACACCAGATTAATACTTTGTAGATGCTTCATTTAACAATTTATCTGTTTTTTCACCAACAATTTAACGGATTTTTCTAAAATTGTAATAAAATAATAAATGGTAATCAATGAACAATATTGAGAGTAGTCATCAGAATGGAGAGGGGGTGGGTGGGTGGGTCGACTGCTTGTCTATAAAAGACTCTCTAGGAAAAAGTTAAACTTAGCCCCGCCCACCCACCCGTTCTCCTTTTTTTTCTTCTGAAATAAGAAATAAATCTTATAACAAAAAAAGTTACGATTAGCGATCAGAAAAATATAATTAGCCTTCCATTTTTAAAGATGGCGGATTTGAATTTTTAAATCCGACAATTTTTTCTGTGAATCACAAATATTAGCAAACCTGTTACGTAAAACACAACCACATTAAAATAATTTATTTATTTTTAGAGCTAGACCTTTGAAGAAATTATGCGAATTTGAAGGCGAACCTCTTCCCGACGACTACAAGAGCGACTGCTACCAAGACATAGACGAAACGAGTTACGCATGCAAAGAGAAATACAGGATTATGGTAAATTGAGTGTTGGTGAATTAATGGCTTCAATGAGGAACATGATAACAAAGACACAAAATTATACGTACTGTTTTGTAAAAAATGCCGGACGTATAACGTGTTTTCGGTTCAAAGTCTTGAAAGAGACCCGTTTGCCACACGTGTTGCATTTTTCATCTAGTTTAGAGTTGTTGTTTTACGAATAACGATTAATTAATGAATTGGAATTAACTCGAGTGGAGAAGTAGTTTCTACAATTAGCAGTGTTTATGTCACTGAGGAGATAGTGAAAGTTGGTGCATGTAAACAAGTGTTAGGGGTCACCACTGTGATAAAAACGAAATTTAAATAGAGATGATTTTTATATGATAATTTTTTGTGTGGAAACTGCTTCGTTCTCGCTTTTATAACATAATACGTCAGTAGTTTTTAATAGGCGGTGATGGTAGGGTTAGAATTAGTGTTAGTTAATTTCGTAACTAAATTGTGTAGCTAAAACTTCACTCCTCACTTAGTATATAGTGGTATTGTTAGAACTACATCATTTTTTTAATCACTCTAATTTTGGAAACACGTGTGGCATATTCAAAAAACACACATATGTGCAGGCATTTTTTATAACATACAGAGTGTCCACTGCTTGCGCAACGGGAAACTCCACTCTTTTTAAACATGTAAACAGTTACATGTTTAAAAAACTTTCCCGTTGTGCTGAGCCCGACCACCCTGTATATTAAAATCGATTTTTTTCAGAAACGACTGAAAAAGGCTTCATTTGAGGAATAACGACAAGCTCTTAATCCAATAACAGCTTTAATCATTAACCCCCACCCCTTGCTTATCATTTAATCCCTTCGGTATTGTAAGTCCCGACTTAGATTTATTAGACATAGTTGAGGTATAGGGTAAACCCGGTTTTGTAAATTTAATAAACAAATTTAATAATTCAATAAAACGTGCAACGAAGACGAGAAGATACGTAACCACACAATAACGAGGAAGGGCGCTTCTTGGTGTGCGCTTTTTGTGGCGGTAATCGGGGCTCTAGAACGTGACGAAGCTCTGACTTTGCTTTCCACAGATGCGGATGCATCCACCAGGTGGTGAAGACGCTTTCGAGGGAGACAGGTTGGCCAGGTTTATTGATGTTGACAGAGAGTTTTATGTCATGAAGGTGGACGATAAGAAGAAGGTTCACTTGAAAAATAGGTTAGGTTAGGGCGAGCCGGGCCTCCACTAAATCCATTAACGCGTCTAATTGTTATAGTTTTGTACATACTAAATTTGTTAATATGTTATTAATAAAATAGTTTATCGGAAATGTGTGTATTGAATTTCAACGTGCCAAGAATACTCGATTCTGGTTGGTCACCGTTTTTCATTCGACGTTTTTTGACAGCAGTGTGGTTTAATCACCGACATACACAACCTTACTAAGGATAACTCGATTAGAAACTATGTTGGTAATCCGATATAACAAAAATTGTTTGTTCCTATTCCGTCAACTGACATCAACAAAGAAATCTACAAATCTTGGTTGGATTTTTCATTTATTTTCAAAATCTGAAAATACGGAGCATCTGCAGATTTTCCAAGCAAGACTCGATTCCAAATCTTTTGGCCGATTTCACTTTTTTTTAAGTGTTTTATTTATAAACTAAAATTTTTCGTTATTCAATGTGTTTGAAGTTATCTTTGATATGTGTATGTTGGGTTGCATAATCCCGTCTTTTAAAATATGAACCAGAACTAAATGTAATGGTGTTCAATTGAAAAACCACTTAAAGAAGCCTTTGGAATTTCATTTGACACGAACGGCATGTCTGTTCTTATAACATCCATTTGGCAGAAACATAACCTGTTACATGCTATACATATGTTACAAGAACAGACATGCCGTTTGTGTCAAATGATTTTCCAGTGTCTACTCTGACTGATTTTTCAATTTAACGAACTATTTTTAACAGCCTAGGTTTTATTAGTTCGCATTCCCATTCTATAGAAGAATATATGATTAACCCCGCCCACCCACCCGCCTTCATTTCAGTGATTTATTTTATTTGGTCCGAATGAAACGTGGATCTTATACTGAACAGAAATAATATCGTTATAATGAGAACAACTCGGGTTAAGTCTGATTTTAGCAAATGGCATATACTCTAAGAACATAGAGGGCGGGTGGGCGGGCCCAATTCTTGCTAAGATAAGGTTGATATTGGCATATCACATATTCTCTAAGAAATTCAAGGGTGGGTGGGAGGGGCTTAGTTTTCATTAAGATAAAACTGAACAATATTCGGAGTAGTTGCTAGAATGAAGAGGGGATGGATGGGCGGGGCTACTTCTTACTTATAAGATTTTCCAATTTTCAATATTTAGATTTTACAATAATTTTCGTGTTTTCGACCGCAATTTTTCGATCTTTAAGTTTCTCAATTTTTAATCTTTCGATTTTTGAATTTTCCGTTTCTTCAATTTCTCAAGTTTTTAGATTTCTCGAAGCTTTCATTTTATACTTTTGCGTTTTTTCATTTTGAGTTTTCTATTTTACAATTTTTCTATTTTATAACTTTTCCATTTTGTTTATTCGAAAAGTAGAAAATTGGAAAAATTGAAAAATCGGAAAATTAAAAAATTGGAAAAAATTGAAAAAACAAAAAATTGCAAAATCGATAAAACGGAAAATCGAATGGAATTTGTTTTTACGATTTTTTAACTTCGATTTTCTAAATTTTTTAATCTGTATTTCAATTTTTCGATTTTTGGAATTTTCTGTTTCTCATATCTAGGTTTATCGATTTTTTTGAGTTTTTCGATTTTTCCGTTTATCTTTTTTTAAGTAAATATTTCAATTTTCCGATTTCGGCCTATTTCGATTTCTCGATCTTTTGAAGTCTCAAGTTTTCGATTTCGATTTCTTGGTTTTTCGATTTTCAAAATTTTCGATTTTTCTAGTATATATTTTAAATTTTCGATTTTTAAAATTTTTCATTTTTCCCTTTATAATTTTTATGTTTCGATTTCCCGATTTTAATTTTTTAATGTGTTTCAATTTTTCCATTTTTGGAATTTTCGATTTCTCATATCTCAATTTTCCAATTTTAAAAATTTTTCGATTTCTCGATTTTTAAGTTTTCGCTATCTCAATTTTAAACATCGCAATTTTGGGAATTTTTCCTTTATTTTTTAAATGTTTCTTTGGATTTTATAATTTTTTGTTTATTCAATTTTTTACATTTTCAATCTTTGATTTTTTAAGTTCCTGATTTCCGATTTTTTTATTTTTCGAAGCTTTCATTTTGTACTTTTTCAGTTTTACAATTTTTCTATTTTATAATTTTTAGATTTTGTTTATTCGAAAAGTTAAAAACTCGAAAAAATGAAAAATTGAAACAATGAAAAACTAAAAACCGAGAAACTTAAAAATCTAAAAAAATGAATGAATCGAAGAATGGGAAAGAAGAAAAACCATTCGAATTGAAAAATTGGAAAATCCAAGAATTGTAAAATCGAAAAATTATAGAATCTTGAAAACTGTAAAGTCCAAACACTGTGAGATTCAAACACCGAAAAATTGAAAAACTCCAAAAACGAAAAACTGAAAAAGTGAACAACTTTAAAAATTATAATTTATTAGGAGTGTTACATAATTAAAATGAAAACTAGAAAAACTGCAAATGAAAAATTAAAGAAACGGAAAATTGAAAGCCGAAAATTGAAAAAATAAAGAAAATTAAAAACCCACACGAAAATTGCAAATCGAAAAATTGACGAAATTAAAAACTGAAAACTCGTGAAATTTGCAAACTCTAAAATTTGAAACATCTAAAAGTTGGAAAATCAAAAACTGAAAAATCGAGAAATCGAAAATTTTCAAAACTGAAAAATCGAAATTTGGAAAATCGAAAAACCGAGGAATTCAAACTGAAAAAAGATCGAGAATTCAAGATGTCGAAAAATCTAAATATCTAAAATTTAAAAAATAGAAAAATTACAATAACGAAAAATTTAACATTAAAAAAAAAACACAAAATTAAAAGGTCGAAAAATCGAGAAATCGAGAAATGGATAAATGAAAATTTAGAAAAACCAAAGATTGAAAAGCATAAAAAAATTAAAATCGAGAAATCCGAACGTAAAAAAAAATAAAATCGAAAAATTGAAAAATTTTAAATTTAAAAATTCGAAAACTTGAAAAACCGAAAAACCGAAGAAATGAAAAACTAAAAAATCGACAAATTGAAAAATCTCAAAACTGAAAAGTCGAAAAATTGAAAAACCCAAAAATCGATTTCCGGTAAGTCGAAAAATTAAAATTTAAAAAGTTGAAAAATGAAAATATCAAAAAACTGGAAAATATAAGACATTCTCAAAATTGAAATGTTGAAAAATTGAGAAATCGAAAACTTGAAAAATCCAGAAATCGAAAAAAAGAACGAAAAGTAAAAACATTTTAAAATCGAAAAAACGAATAATTGAGATGTAAGAAATCGAAAATTCCAAAATCGAAAAATTGGAATACACGTTAAAAAGATTAAAATCGGGAGATCGAAGCATAACAAAACATAAATCGAAAAATGGAGAATTTTAAAAATCTAAAAACTTGAAGAAATAAAAAATTGAAAAACGGAAAAGCCGAGAAATCGAAATTTAAAAAATGAGACATCAAAAGATCCGAGAAATGGAGAAATCGAAATAGCCCGAAATCGAAAAACCGGAAAATTTAAACCTGAAATACATATTTAAACTTAAAAAAAAACGATAAATCAAAATATTCAAAATTCAAAAAATCAGAAATTTAAAAAATCGAAACATCGAGAAATCGAAATATCAAAAAAGTGAAAAATTTTAAATTAAAAAATTGGAGACATTGAAAAATCCCAAAATTGGAACAACGAAAACTTCAAAAATCGGTAAATTCGAAAGAGGAAAAATCGAAAAATCAAAGAATTGATTAATAGAGAAATTGAGAAATGTTAAAATGAAAATTTAAAAAAGGCAAAAATTGAAAAATCGTAAAACTAAAATATCGAAAAATTAAGTAAACTAAAAATCGAGAAATCAAGAAATCGAAAAATTGTAATTCAATTTTGTTTTATTTTTCCACAAAAATTTCGATGTCGAAGATAAAAATTCAACACGGATTCATAAACCATAGATACACTGTTATTTTTTTTTAATTTATATAACATTTATTTGACAAAACTGTAGAACTGAAGAAACGAAAAATAGAAACATTGAAAAACTAAAAATCGAGAAAAAATTAAAGAATCAAAGAACGAATTAAATCGAAAAATGTAAAGTCCAAAAACTAACATTCAAAGATCGAAAAATTAAAAAATTCCAAAAACGAAAAATTGAAAAAGTGAACAACTCTAATAAAAATTATAATTATTACATATCTAAAATGAAAACTAGAAATCCTGCAAATCAAAAATTGAAGAAACGAAAAATTGAAAACAAAAAAAATTGAAAAATACAAAAACTGGAATAAATAAGGGGTGGGTAGGCGGGGCTACCAGCTTAGCTCTAGAAAAAAGTTAAATTCAGCCCTGCCCATTTTCTTTCTCTATTTCACTGACTTATGTAAATAGTAAAAATCATATAAAGTAGACACAATGAGATACAATTATAAACGCCGCCCCGCTTCTCCGAGCCAATGAAATGATTGATTAAAGTGGAGTTTTTGGGAGTAGAAGCGGAATTTTCTTTTCACACTGATTTTATTAAAAGTGTCCGCCATTTTTCCTTTTCCACTTGTCATTTTTTGACATTTATCATTTATTTGTGGTTTAATCACAGACATGCAAAATGTTTTCCAGGGATGACTGGATTGCAAATAATGTTGCTCGCCAGCTCGCCCACTATTTCCAATATCTTTGGTTTGGGAGTGTTAGTTTTAATGTTTAGTACACGAAAAAGTGTGGTTAGGTTACATCATTCCGGTTCTACCATAGATTAATATAGATGCGACATACAGTCTGATTTTACAAAACCACCCTTATTGACATTGGAGTCCTCAACCGCCAAAGGCAAGCGCCAAATTTAAATAGTAGATGCCAATAAAAAAACTTGTTTCACTACAACTTGTCGCCTGAGAACTTGTTTGATCTACAGACCAGAGCGCGCTCAGGCCAATGTCGACTCTAAAATCGAGATATCTAATAATCGAAAAATCGAAACCTTAAAAAATCGTAAAACCGAAACATTGAAAAATTGAAATATCGAAGAACTGAAAATCGAAAAAATGTAAAATTCAAAAATCTAAAATTTAAAAATCGAATAACGAAAAATTGAGAAATCGAAACTCCCAAATTTAAA